AATCCCTTCCCCTAGTCTCCCTCATTCTTCCTCCTCCCTCAACTGACCAGTGAGGTGCTGGCATGTACAGTGTATCTGTTCTGTTTAACATATAAAATTGATTTCCATTTAGAACTAAGATTTCCAAGAGCTAGTGTACTCATTCCAAAGTGCTTCTAGATGATTGTTAAAAAAAAAAAGAATAATTTTAAACTATTTTATCATTGTGCCTGTGTTCACATGTCTCAAGGAGATTTACTTTTTTTTCCCAATCCCCAAGCCTACTTGTCCCACTCTGCCACCACCAACCTGCCTGCTCTCTTCTGTACCTCGGGTCTGTCCCCAGCTCCTGTACTGGACTGCACCAAAATCAGACCACATCATATCTGTTCTTTAAACAGAAGAGGATTGATGTAACCTTCTGTGTTGAGCCAAGTCCCTTTTGTTCTTCCATAATGTTTATTTTAGTTTACTTCCTTTTTTCCCCTCTCTTAAGGCTTGACACTTTACGAACTATTGATTTAGCTCTGAAGCCTATTGTTTGGGCTCTGAAGCTTATATTTAAGATGCCCTTACTTTTACACGCAAGAGTGCCTCTCTTGTCTGCCAGATTCCAAGGGAGAGACTACCAGGGACAGCTCTCCTCTGAGCAGAGGCCTTCCCCTGTAAAGGAATGTCCCTTTGTGTTCATCTTGTGCATAAATCGCCAGCGAGCTTTTAAATGAGAAAAGACCTTGCTGACCCAGAAGGTGGTATTTATAAATAGTCCTCCAGTTCCCCCTCCTTAAAGCTTGTCCACCTAATCCCCTCCTCTCAAGACTGGAAGTGATTTGACCCTTGAGTCTTAAAACTCAGGCTCTTCTTCTCTGAAAAATCTGGTTAGCAAGAAGCTCTTAAAAATGTTTTCAGCCAGATGAGGATTTAGCCATCAAAGGTTGCTTTCCACTTCCAACATTTTTAGCCAAATATGCTTCCTCCTTTGAGGAGAAGCTTTTATTAGTTATTATTTTAAGACACCAACCTCAGTAATTTTTATTTCTTTTTACTAATAGGCTATCATGGATTTGTATTTTCATGATTTATAAAGCTGTTCCCAAATGGCTGCATCTCTACTATGAACTAAGAGCTGTTTTCACCTCTAATTTACATAACTTGGAGGGACATTATTAGATGGGAGTTCCATGTGCATTTCTCTAATTTTGTATTATTTATTGAAGATAAAATCTTACAGGTTTTGTTAGGATTATAATCTGAAGCACATGATATAGATACTGATAGTTTTCCAGATTAGGGTGCATGCTGGAAATGCCTGATTGTTTAACTGGCCAAATATTTTTTTTTTTACTGTATTTCCCAAAAAGATAAATTAAGTCCTTAACCTGATTATTTATAAGAAAAGAGATACTTATATTAGGAAGATAAACCATTTATTTTTAGCAGCTTCTCTCCCTTGCTATACAATGAAGGAATCTTATATTCAGTATTCACTATTTGAGAGAACACTCTAATTTAAGACTCTTTCTTTTTACCTCCTAAAAGACTGAAGAGTAAGTCCTCATCCCAGAGGTTTCTTTGCTGACCTGGACCAGTGGCAGTAATGCTTTCCTGGAAGCTGTGAGGTCTGATCCACAGCTTGTGCGGGGAGCCCCTTCTCCAAGGCTTTTCTTGCAGTAGTTTTGCTAGCATGCCGCACTTGTATGTGAACCTTAAACTTCAGGAGTAATTTTAGTTTTGTTTAATCAAGAAAGTCTGGCTGAATGTCCAGTCCAATGTGGCTGAATTGGTACATAAGAGACTATCTGTAGAGAAAGAATGGCAAGCATGTATGGGGCAGGTTGAGTGAATTCTGTCATCAGAAAGCCTTGAGCTTAAATGTCTGCAGCAGTTCTATTTAAATCTGAGCTCAGAGTGGACTGGCTGGAGCAGTAGTGTCTTGTTTTACTTCTCCAGCTGAAGAAGCTTTCTCTTGATATAAGGAAAACACAGAATGGGTAAGCACATGTGTGTTAATTGGAATTGTAAGACATGGCCTAAGCAAGTATGTATACTTTTGACTTGTTTTAGAATTTAGTTGTTAAATAAAGTGGAGTTTAGAAATACAAAGCAGGGGAAAGAAACCATGTGGGTGTAGAACAGCAATATGTAGCAGTCTAGTGAGCATACAAGGAGAGTTTGCTAGATTGCGCTCATTGAGAGGAGAGTGGACAACCAGCACAACTTCAGAGCAGTGGTAGGTTCACTCACGGAGAACAGCACAAGCAGGTCGGGGCTCAGGAGGTTAGGGCAGCCGTCATGTTCAAGGCACTCTACTGGATAACCTGTGGTTATCTTTGTGGCTTTTCTCACACAGCAGCATAACCTAGAAAGAATCTCTCTAGAGGGTTAAATGTAGTGCCATTACATGCATAATGATGCTGCTCAACCATGTTCGGGGCTCTCCACTGCAAGCTACCCAAACAATGGGAAAAGCTGAAGGCTCTCTGGGCCTTTCAGAATTGACAGGCAATTTGGAAGACCAAGACTGAAGCCACCTCTGCACAAGGGAAAGGTCAGGTTGGCATACCCACTGCCTCACCCTGAAAAGCTGACTTTACTCAAGTTCTTGTGTGACTACAGCTTCAGGGACCCAGAACTAGGTACCCTAGGTGAGCCTAGGTCATGTGCTTTCCCCCAGCTGCCCCAGAACCAAGTACAGAAGGATCTGGATCTTCTAGTTGCTGTGGTGCAAAGCCGTCACTGCCTCTCATGGGGGAAGGGAGGCTGCAGGGTGCTGCTGGGAAGAGGGTTTGGTTGCTAGGCAGAAAAAAACAATACATGTAAACTCTATCAGCTGTATTTATCAAAGCTCAGTCTCTTTACAAATATTAACCACCTTTTTTAGACTTAGTCTCCATGCATGGATAATATTAATTTTCTTTCCCTTTAATGATTTGTCCATTTTTTTTTAATTGGAACTATCCTTTTAAATGGAGTCTTTATTGTTATCAAATTTGTATGTGTACATCATTTAGCGTCATAGTTGCATTGGCTTCTAATGAAGAACTGTGTTCCGAGTCCACCCATCCCTATTTTCTACTCCCCAGAGAGAACTATTTTCACTATTTTGAATTCTTTGTAGCTAACTTATTTGATATTTATCTTACTATTTCTAAATATTCTACTCCCCAGAGAGAACTATTTTAATTTTCCACTACACACACACACACACACACACACACACACACACACACACACTTACTTCTCCTTCCCCATCCTCTCAGGAGAACTATGTCAACACTGTTTAATGAAACTATAGTATACTGTGACTACTTATTTCTTCTAGTACCACCTTTGATTTTTCCCTGATATTAATATTGTCTTAGTTTTTTATCCATTTGCTTTGATTTTTCTGTACTTCAACTTTAACCCTCAAATTCCTTAATTGTATAAACCTTCTTTCTTTATAAACAAATTAGAATTTATGAATTCATCTTCTTAAAACAAAATCTCTCCCTAAATGTTCTGACCTGCTGTTGACCTGACCCTGGACTAGTCACCTTCCAGGCCTGTTAAAGAGCTGTTGTTCTGGGGTTTCCTTCACCTCACTCCAAAGACTGCTTCACCTGTTTCTTGTTTTAGATCCCTTGTTTCCTGAGTCCAGTGTCATCGTCTTTAACTTCCTGTTGTTTTGAAAGAGCATATTATCATTAGTTTCTTGAGAAAGTAATTTTTTAGTTCTAGGAATCATTTCCCTGAGAATTTTAAAGGTGTTACTCCATTTCTTTCTACCCTGCAGAATCCCTGTCGAAAAGTCTGATTCATTCTGATTATTTTTTTTTCCCTTTCTGATTTTGACTGTATGTGACAACTTGTTTTCCCTCTGGGAGCTTCTCTTTGAGCTTGATGTTCTGCAAGTTCACAATGATGTGACTTGGACGGACTTGCTGGACCCTGTCAATCTGGGATGGTTTCTTGAATTAATTCTTGATGACTTCCTCTTCTTGTTTTTCTGTTCTTTCTTGAACTCTTGTTAGTTAGATGTTGGACCTCTTAAACTGATGTCCAGTTTTTGTATCTTCTCTCTCCTACCTTATATCCTTGTGGTCTTTTTCTGTTTCTTTCTGACAGAGTTTCTCAACTTTGTCTTCTGACCTTACATTGAGTCTCTTGGTTCTGCTATCAAGATGTATATTTTTCTAGCGTCTTTTTTCTTCTCTGAATGTTCTCCATTTAAATAATATTATTGATTCATTTATTGTATGATGAACAGTACAGAAACTAGAAAATAAAATATATTTAAAGACATTTTCTGACTGAAAAAGATTATCAGTTGCCCAGCCTCAAAAGTTGTAACTTTGAGCCTGCAAAAAAATCACCTAAAATATATGAAATTCAATTGTATGTAATTTTTAGTGTCTGGAAAGGTTATGTTTTCTCTGATTGTTTTTTGTTTGTTTGCTTTTAATGATCCTTTTTGAAAGTTTGTATTGTCTGTAGTCTCTTTTTTCTTCTAAGTTGCTTTGTTCTATTTGTTTTGGTCTGTCTTTGGTAGTAAATGCTTTCTTGACTTTCTGATGATCCTTGGCTCTCTTCTCATACTTAGGAGCAGGTTACTAAAAAAGCTACTTGAGAGCTCTGGACTTGTGAGTAAAGTTTATGGACTGTGATCTTCACTGTAAGGGATCTGCCTGAGATGTTTCCTGGGATGCCTCTCCTACCTGTTTCTTTTGGTCTTTAAGGTCACCTGGTCAGATTTGTTTAACATATTTATTTTGCACTGTTCTTTTTCCACCTCTTCCTTGCGGTTTCTAAATGTGTACTGTCTTTGGGTCCTTATGTTATAGAAAAAGTATCTCCTCTGGGTCTTTACTTCTTCCTTTAGATGCCATTTGGATTCCCCTACACATTCTTATTTGCTTTCATGATACTCAGCAGTTATCTGAAAAGTAAAAACAAGAGTTGGTAGGAGCAAACCTGAGACACCTAGGGTGTACAGTAGGATTCCCTTTCAGTGCCTTCCTTTTCTTAACATATTCGATCAGAAATTGGATGAACCTTCGGGATGCTGAGACAGGGAAGATACTCTGGCAAGGAACAGAAGACCTGTCAGTCCCTGGAGTGGAGCATGAAGGTATTCTCTTTTGTCTGCCTAGGGCTGCGATAATTCAATTTGGCAGCAGGGCGTAGGTCTCAGGGAGCCAAGTTAATACAGACCAAAAGAGGGGGCAAGCCCTGGAGGTACAACATGTTAACCCCCTTGTCACTGAGGTTTCTAGCCCATCTTACCCTTCTTTCTCCACTTTCAAAACCCCACTCTGTGCTGAAATTTTAGTGTTAGAACATACCCAAAGATATAAACTAAACTAAGATCTCAACTGAAAAGAAAATTTGCATTTTTATCTCCCTGAAATCAAAGAAAAACTAAAGGGTTAAAACCAATAAGAACAGACCAAAGAGAAGATGCCCATTCAGCCCCCTTCCTGATGAGAGTAAGGCCCTCAGATGCACTTAATCTTGTGTTCCCTGAAGATCTTTCAGTCAAATGCACTAAACCAATTGGGGATCTCTGCCTTTATTTTAAAGGTGCAATTCTGTTACCAAGGCATTCTCTGAAATTTAGCATAGATAGTGTATGCTCTAAATCAGCTCTAAGAAGAAACTCCAAGAACAATAGTCATGTGGTTTTCACTTAGAATGGCTTCACTATTTCTTTTTCTTTACTAGCCCGTGTTCCCAAGAAAATCCTCAAGTGCAAGGCAGTGTCTCGAGAATTGAACTTCTCTTCAGCAGAGCAAATGGAAAAATTCCGCCTGGAACAAAAAGTTTACTTCAAAGGGCAATGCCTAGAAGGTATTCTGCTACCGACATGCCTGAAATCCAGGCTTAAGGTGCCAGGAACAAAAGGCAAAACTAAGTGAAACTAAAGCACTGCTTTGATAACATTCATCCTGCGATTCTGTTTGTGATAGGATTCCTCCTCCCTAAAAGATTGAGGACCCCCAGTAAGAACAAAAACAGTCAGTCAGGGCTTTGAGCCCAAGAAAAGGGTTTCTGATGAGCCTGGGCTGTGTGCCTGCTTTGTCCCTGGTATGGTATTGTAACATGGTCATGTGGAAGCTGCTGATTAGGGCCTGGTACAGTGCTCTCTATACAGTCTTACACAGATTGACTGGCAAGGCCACTCTGCATTGAGTTTTCACCATGAAGTATAAGAGTGTGCATATGTGTGTTCTTAGAGCTGAAATTCCAAGTGGAAAGGCCTGTTGTGTACTAATGTTTATAATGTACATCCAGCCTACTTCTGAGAAAACACTGCTTCTTACACATACCTACCTACCGGCCCTAGCCCTTTAAACCCCAGAGCACAGGAAACAGGCCTCTGGTATGGTTCAGAGGGCAGCTTGAAGGAGGTTTCCCTGACCTTTCTTACGCTCTGGCCTAGGAGGTTTCTCAAGACTTCATTGGTGGTTTTCAGGGTAGGAAGATCACTGTAAAGGAGGGGTCAGGAACCCTGAAACTGTCTGGGGCGCCCACTCACCCGCTTGTCCTTCTTCCTTCAGAATGGTTCTTCGAGTTTGGTTTTGTGATCCCTAACTCCACAAACACCTGGCAATCCCTGATAGAGGCAGCACCCGAGTCCCAGATGATGCCAGCCAGCGTGCTAACGTGAGTGGGCAGGACGCAGGAATGGTGGGGTGTGTCTAGAGGCAGGCATTCCAGGAAGGTGGGACTCACGGTCCCGCTCAGCAGGCAACCTAGGTTGAAAATAAGGGGAAAGAGTATGCAGGATATTGGAGTTTACAGGTCACTGACTTTTGTCATATGAAAAAGACAGTGTGATAGAATGGAAAGAATAAAAAACTCCACACCTTTAATTCCTGATTAACCCTAAGTAGCTGTGTAATCTCAGACAATGTTTTTACCTTTTTGGGCCTTATTCTTTTCCTCTCTAAGCATAGAATTAATGATTTCTTTTCACAGAGGTGTAGTGAGGATAAAATGAGATGACACAGAGAGAAACTGGCATATGATATATATTATATCCATGCAAATTTGCCCCCTTTCCTGACTACCAAACTTCTGGTACTCTACTTTTTTGAATGGCCTTTAACAGAATCTGGCAAAGTCCTAATTTTGTTTTAGAGTATGATGTTTGATTATGATTTTGCAGACTAGTTTACCATTTTAATAGCTACGCTTCTTACACAAGAAATAGTTTGTCCTTTGCTCCGTTTGTCTAAAAACACTGTCAATAATTGCCCACCTCTCATCTTCTCTTCAAAAGATACTAAGTTTTCAAAGGTTTCAGTAATAATGCCTACTAATGATTTACAAAGATAATTGTGTAATATTGGATGTCTCTTTAAATGGTTCCTTATGAAATCCACATGGAATCTGTAAATAGAGGTTATTTTCTTTATAAGTCTTAAACAGATTTTTAATTGTATTTGATATTTGTATATTCAGCCATCAGATCTTGAGTTCCTTATTTACCTACTTTATAATTAATTGCCAGCAAAAATCTATCTGCTGGCTATTAATTACCAGTGTACTATATAAAAAGGCATTTTTTAGATTTTACTAACCTTCCTTTGACTTCTTGGCCAGGCCTAATTTCTTTCAGATACTAAAATCAGTAAGTCTCATAACATGTTTAGTTTATTTAAGTCATGTCTTACTTTTTAGAACCCAAAATTAGTACCTCTGTTTCCCTTAACTTGGTTCAAGAGTGGTTTGGTTTGGAAACACTGAGATACCCACCAAGAAAAATGAAAGTCCACTCTGCACAAACCAGCATATCATTTTGCCTTCTTTCAGTGCAAGCCATAGGAACTGACTCTGACCAACAAGACAGGGTTGAAAGGGTAGGGCTGAGACTTGGAGAACTTGATATATGCCCCTGGCAGGGACCCGTGGACAGTTTCCTCAAAAAACAGCCAAATTATATTGACCCAAATTATATCCTGTGCCCAGTCCTATGCCAGGTTGGGGAGGGGCCACTTGACTGACCCATGGGCTGGAGATGGGGTAGTTCCCCAAAAGAAGAGCAGAGTGCTATTACCCAAAGTGGGGAAAATAGATGCAGGCCAGGCCACAGATGTCCACTAGCATGGGTGTTTTAGGGAAAGGTACCACCCCTGAGGTCTGCAAGTTTCCATGGGTATCAGAAAGTCAGTTGTATTTAGCACCTATGTGCAGAGCACTCTAAGGGCCTTAATGTACCAAAAATTGAGACATGCATTCTCCTGATTTCTGAACTTGTGGAGGACAAACCTAGTCACATAAGTTGAATGTCATGTTAGACTTCTAACCCCATAGGAACACAGATTTTAATGTCCTCAGGCCAACATCTAGGTGGGTGCATGTGCCCGGGCCTAGCCAACCCAGATTGAAACCACTTTGTGGAGATGATATCTATTGTCTAACACGCTACTCTTCTGCCCTCTCTTCTTACTTGTAGTGGGAATGTTATCATAGAGACAAAGTTTTTTGACGACGATCTTCTTGTAAGCACATCCAGAGTGAGACTTTTCTACGTTTGAGAGAAGAATGTGTATGCTTTTCAAGAATTTGGGTTTTTTGGGGGGAAGGAGGAAACTTTACATTTTTTCCTCCACACATTTGATTTTTGACACTTCCACCCCTAATTCCTCTATGGCAAAACCTGCCTGCAGCCACCAGGGGACCAGCTCTGTGTAGGTAACAGATGACTTTTTTCTTTCAAGCCACCATATTCCACTGACCAGACTAAACTCCCAACCCCAGACCAGGGCAAGAGGGTGTGTCTGGACTCCTTCCCAGGGTGAGCACGGGGACAAACATACCAGAGCCTATACTGTTCCCAGCTCTGGGGAAGAATGTGCGTGCATTTTAAGAATTGGGGATTTTTGGAGGGAAAGAGGAACTTTACTTTTTTCCTCCACACATTTGATTTTTGACACTTCCACCCCTAATTTCCTCTGTGGCAGAGGGTGTGTCTTGACTCCTTCCTGGGGTGAACACAGGGATGAACATACCAGAGCCAATGCTCTTCCCATCACCCTCCCTGCCTCCTCCTTGGGCCCTGCAGGTTTTGGAAAAATTCATGTTCCTGACCCATGTTTACTTTTTTCCTACCATTTCTATTTCATACATTCTCATACATTTAACCTGTAAAATAGACTGTGATATTATTACATAATGAATTAAAACATATGCATTAAAATGTTCCTAAAGTCTTTAGTATGGCACTGCTTTCATCTCTCCTTTTTCTGGAACATGAATATGACTCCTTGATGGGATATATCAGGCCCTAGGATCACAAGAATGTTTTACTCTAGAGAGCAACAGACAGATCGTAGGATCCTGAAAGCTAGCTCCACTGCTGCTTTCAAAAGATGTACAATGTACCAGAACAAGACCCATGACCTTAACATTTGTCTTTTAGACATGATATTTAGCAATTCTCTTCACAACATACGTGCACCCTTTGTTTTGTTGTTAATTTTTTCCCTTCCTTTATAATTTGCATTTGCTCAAGATGTTTCCAGAAAGAGTAGAAGTTCTAAATTGGTAGAGTAGGGACTCTTATATCACTAAGTGAGAGAACAAAAGTTACAAACTGAAGAAATCTCCCTGAAGCTAACTGGAGAATGATAGGAGGCCTTAAAAACCAAGGTCAGAGGAAGTCAGTGTGGGGAAAAAATTATTATATCTGCAGTGCTTTCAAGTCTGATGTAAGAGAGAAAACTAAAAAGGGTTCTTTTCTAGGAACTTACCTCTGAGCCTCCAGTAGTCTTCACTGTCCATTACAAAATACCAACAATTAAAAGTTGTCCCACAGTAGTCTGAAGCCAGAGGGGAGGAGACTATGCCAAGAGACAGGCCTCTTGTCCAGCCCCTGTCTCTGGTTTCTCACTCTCCTGTCTGCTACCAAAGGATCTGTTTGCACCTGTGGATGGGGAGGAGAAGCAGTGTATTTTTAGTATACTATCACCATCTTTCAGTGATGATTCTATCACATTAGATCTGTTATCTTCAAAAACTAATTTTTAAATACCAAAGATAAAATAAAAAAACAAGCATTTCTGAAAATGCCTTCTGTTTTCTCAAAGTGAACCTGTCTCCTTCCCTTTTCCTGAACCATATCTGCTCCCCAGAATTCCATCAGGGAAGGCTCTCAGGACACATTCGATTGGAGAAAGGGCTTCCCAGAGAATGCTTCCCCACCTGCTTAGAGCCTCCTTCACTGCCCATCTTTGCTCACCCACCCTGCCAGAACTTCTAGGGACACCCTTCTTTGCCAGCTTTGAGAAAAGAATTATAGACCAGTCGTTTTTAGAAGTTTACCATTTCTTTGGATAACTACATATGCTCAGGAAATATTTATTATCAAACAAGCAAGGCAAAAAAGTGTGTGCTTCAGGGACAGTGTTGATTGAGGAGTCCCAAGCTGGGCAGGTGGAATTTGAGCCAGCCAGGAGGGTGGCTGAATGCCGTGATAGGAGCAGGAGATGGGGAGCAGTACAGGCCTGGGGTAAACACCGCAAAAAGAGAAGACCTTTGGTAGATCAAGGTCAGCCCTTTTGTGTGGGTGGAGATCCAAATCCCTGAAGATCTGGGGGCTTTGTGGATACATGGTAGGCCACAGAATGTTATTGGAAGGAGAAACGTACAGACCAGGCTTGGTACAGTGTACAACTACTGATTCTCAGACTTTTATGGGTCTCTGCCTTACCCCCAGAGATTCTGATTCAGTAGGTGTGGGCCCCAGAAAACCTGTTAAAGCACCCAGGTGATTCTGATGCAGCTGCTCTGTCTGTGACCATACTTTGAGAATTACTGGTAGAGGCATTGATTGATGTTAGAGATAGACGTATGTGCATGTGTGACTGACTGTAAGAGAAACCAAGGTCTCCAAGCAGCATGCTTAAGGAACAAAGGATGGTCCCAGTTCTGACCTGTGCAGGCTGACGGGAAGTGTTTGTTGCTCAGGGCAATCAAGAGAACGTTTAGAGTCTGTGGAGGGGAGGAGAGGACAGGATCCCAGGCAGCACAGTCTTGGAGAAAGACTCAGGAGAGCTTAGAGACTCTTTTGAACATCGATTGCTATCTAGAGAATTTGCTCAAAGTTTGCTGTGTGACGTGCAATAACCCTCTCATCCACCTCTGCATAGCTGTTACTTGCCAGTGTTTTTTTTTTGAGTATTGGACTTCTGGGATGGGGCATGTAGTAAGCACTGAGTCTGCTCCCAGTTGAGCATGAGAGGGTTGAAGGGAAGCAAAGTCTAGCCACATTTCAGGACACATGGACAGGCCTAGTATATGTGTCAAGAAGTGTGAGGCAGGGCCTGCCTTTCCAAGCTTTGGCCCTAGGAGAGGGATATGTGTTGTTATATATGCTTGCCATCAGAGGGGTACAAGGTGGGAATTCAAGAGAGAACACACAGTTCAGAAAAATCGGGAAAGCCTTCTCTTCTCCAGATCCTTCAACTCTCAGCCTATAAAACATGTTCAGGTCACCCTAAAAATCAACACATTTTAAAGATAAGGGTTTCCTTCAGTCCTGCATTGCCTCCAGCTCCTGCTCTATCCTTCTCTTTCTCTGTAGATCCAAATTTCTTGGAATTGTCTCCACTCACTCCTTCCATTCCCTCCCTCTCATTTACTCCTCACCCACTGCCGTCTGGCTCCAGCCAGCGGCCTCCTCTCCTTCCGGACGCTGACGGACTCCACCGATGCACTGCCCCCTTCCAGGCCTTGCTTTATTCACTGCATTCCCTTCTTCTGATGCCTCCTGGAAATTCTCTTGGGTTCTGGGTGTCCCTTTCCTGGGGCTTCTGCTCCTTGCTCTTTTGCAGGCTATGTTCTCTCAGCTGCCTTCTTCCTAAAATGTTTATTGGTAGGTTTTGGTTTTTTTTTTTTTTTTAGCTATTTTATATTGAAAATGTGCTATGTGCAAATTCTTTGAACATTATATACACACTCCACACATACTAATGGAGCACTGTTCTAAATGATGGAGCTACTTGCTGAACAAATGAAGTCTGTACCATTAGATTCTAATGAGAGGAGATGGAAAGCAAATAATTTCACATAGTTAATCAATGCTCTGAAGGAAAAAGGATGGAGCAGTGGCAGCGTCAGCTTGGCGTGAGGAGGTGAAGAACGAAGTCAGCATTCAACTTTTGACCACCAAAACAGTATTGGTGAATCCACTGCAACACCCTGGAGAGCCAGGCTTTACTTGAAAGAAAAGGTTTTTTAAATCCCTTAAACTGTCATCAACAAAGCAGGAACCAGGTGTGCCATGCTTAACTGCCTAGTTTACTGCAAAGAACTCAGGATATGACAGGAAAGGCCCTGCCTTGTGGGAGGAGTGAAAGCCTGTCCCTTCCAGCCTGGTGTAGGACGGAGAGGACAAATGGGGAACAGGTAGGGCAAGGAGCTCAGATGCTGATGCCCTTGCCTGCCTCCACCCCCAGGCTTGGGCAGCAGGGGCAGACAAATTTCGGCCCGGGTGTGGGGAAAAGATGAGAATTTCAGGGGTTGTGACCCACTTCCTGGAGGTTAGCAGGAGGGTGGGCTGCCCTACAATCCAGCAGGCCAAGACCTGTTGCCTTAGCTCCATAAACATCTCCCCTCTTGTGTCCTCCGTTCCCACTGCCCCTGACACACTTCCTATAACTAGCTGGGGCCCATGGATCCAGCAGAATCACCTCCCCTTTTGATTTATCCTTCACATCACAGCCAAAGAGACCCCTAAAACGTGCATCTGATCGCCAGTCCTCAGTGTCGTTTATTTTTAGAATTTCTTACTAGTGACCTGGCAGTTGTTTACAGCTTTCAAAACGAACTGTTAAAATGGTCCTCAAAGTAAAGATATAATCTGGCCTAGCAATTTTTTGGTGCTTTTATTTGGTCTGAAACTAATTTTGAATAAACTGAGGAGTGGCGCGGAATTGAGTGCAAAGCAGAGATTTGGTGAATGCATTTGGTTCCCAAGCTGTACTCAGGCACCCCAGGGCACTGTGGCAAGTTCACCATGGGTGGGCGGGGTGGGGTGTGCCACAGGAGCTGTTAGTTTTCAAAAGAAAGACAGCCAAACGGGACTTCTGTTACACTCTGCTCAGACTATTAGCTCAAGATAGTTCAGTTTTGACATTAGACCATCCTTCATTCTTTTTGATGAGACACCTTTGGGAAACTGGGTTTTTGGAGGTTTGGGTAATAAGCAGATACTCCTAAAAAATCAATGGACAGGAAATGAGGGTGGGTGATGTCCAATCTGATTCCAAGGTTGAAAAAGTTACACAGTACCCAACAGGCACACCCCGTTAGTAAGTCATTGGGATTATAAATAAAATAAAAATATTTTTTCTGTCAATTTATGTGGCTTTTCTTTTACCAAAATAATATGACCGCTACCAAGTTAGGGCATAAATACTTAATAAGTTGTTTGGACCTAACTACTTGATAAAAAGAATTGTTAGTTACTTGGTCTAGTTGTACTGTGAGAAAATTATTGAGACACTAATGGTGCTGTGAACAGAGAAAGTTTGGGGACATCTGGTAAGCCCTTAGTTTTAAGGTACGCCTTTCAGAGGATCAGAAGCACATATACCGCCATCCCTGGCAGCAAGAGCAACGAACAGGTATTGATCACCCACCTATGAACTCTGAGACAGCTCCTGGCTCCATGGAACACTTTTTAGTTCTTGTACTTACTTAAGGAAATGTATTCAAAGAAAAAGCATTTATTCATATTTCTTAGAGCAGCTTTTAAAGTGATTTGATTTATTCATCATTCCCCAAATAGCTCAATTATAAGAGGATAAACAAAATCATTGTCACTTGAGTGTTTATATATAATTATTACTTCTAAAGTATGTCTGTCAGAGCTATGCAGTGCACAATCTGAATATGTCGTGGAGCACTGCACACCCCTGCATAATCGAACTATACATAACTGGTTTACCTATTTACAGAACTTGTATTTTCATTTCACTATTTTACGTTATTACAGAGGTTAATAACGGTCGTTTCTTTTCTTTCCTGGTGCATTGCTGGTCAGACACATTGTTTGCTCAGTGCCCAGCCCTTGGTCAGAATTGGAATCCAAATCATCTCTTCTGGCAGATTGCCTACTAATTGTTACTGTCTTTTAATTGGCTTATATTCAGCAACAATCTACAGTGCATTTGGTAGGATTAAGCTAAGGTTTTTCTTGGAGTTCACA